GTTCTTGTGGGCACGTCACACCCACCCTCCAGGGGCCAGATTCACGAAAGCACTTACGCAAGCACTTACGAAAGTGTACATCTTTCCTCAATCTTTGGCGGCTTTGGTTACATTTATTAAACAGTTTACAAGCATGAAAAATTCCCATTCATCTGTTATTGTTATAAACAGCCTCCTGGTGCTTCGGAGCTCATTAACTGTTTAATAATTGGAAACAAAGCCGCCAAAGATTGAGAAAAGATGTACAGGTTTGTAAGTGCTTGCGTAAGTGCTTTCGTGAATCTGGCTCCAGGTCCCTCGCGTTCACCCCTCCCCCCCCACTTTTCCACGCTCACAACAAAGTTGTAGCCTATAAATAATTGGCGTTTTAAGGGATTTTTCCTGGTTTTCAATAAATTCAACTGGTCATCCTGTCCATTTTCCAAAAACACTGTCCTCCGCTGTTCACCTCTGTTCTTCTCACATACACAGAGGCTTAAAGCTTCTGTTACTGAAGGAAGCTTTGAACAAGAGTTTTAAATAGAGCTTTGATTTTAGTGTAACCTCTAACGTCGACAGGTTCGTAATATTTCATCAGAGAGGGAGCAGATAACGGTCAGTATTCACCTAGTTGTGCTTGCAGGGTTGAGCTCTGGCTCTTTGGTCCCGCCTCTCAACTGTCAACTGGTGTACAGATTCCTGAGCCTACTGGGCTCTATCATATCTACATTTGACACTGTGTATGGAATCTGCCTGCACCACATCACTGCCTAATGCATTCCATCTGTTAACTACTCTGACACTGAAAAAATTCTTTCGAACGTCCCTGTGGCTCATGTGGGTACTCAGTTTCCACCTGTGTCCCCTTATTCGCATACCACCCGTATTAAACTGTTTATCCTTATCTACCCTGTCAATTCCTCTGAGAATTTTCCAGGTAGTGATCATGTCGCAGTAGGTTGCAAGACCTGAGAAAGGTATATACCTGCTCATTTTCCAGATAGTTTGAAATCAAGATCTAATGGTGATACACCTTAGAACAGACGACCGATTCTGCTTATTAAAGAGAACAGCGCAGAAAAAAAAACGCAGACGAAATAGCTGAAGCACTTATATATTACCGTTAAATAGGACAATACAATCATTAAGGTGCACGAGGATCAACGCAGGTAGAGGAGTCTGACCTCAATAAATGAGGCAGAGAAATCATGAAGCCGTTTATGCCGCGTCATACTGAGGGATATGGTCGCAAAGTCATTTAAAAGGTGAAAAACTTATTTTTTTTTAGCAAACTCGTTTGAATTAGTTTTATTAAAGGCAACAGAATACTGAGAGTAAATTAGTTTATTTAAGGTAACTGGCTATGGAAGATTATGTCAGAAAATGGTATTATTAGACAGAGCACTAAGTCAGCATTGCTATGTAGCCCATGAAGGGGGATACGAAAACAGGATTAGAGTGAAGGAACGATGCCCAACCACTCTCGTTCAGGCCAGGAGAATAGCGTGAAAGATTAACTTCCCAAATTTCACGTTCATGAAAGAGATGTAGTCATCCTGACAGCTTGACGGCGACTACTAAACTAATGAATGAATGAATGAATTAGATATAGGTCAAGATACCCTAATGGGTAAGCGTGGAAGTGGGGAAGAATTAGTGGGGGTGAGAGGAAGGGTTTTCAGTATGAGGTAAAGTGCCAGGATAAAGTTGTTACATTCTTGTACAGCCACTAGTACGCGTTGCGTTTCGGGCAGGTCCCTGGAATACGATCCCCTGCCGCGAAGAATCGTTTTTTCATCCAAGTACACATTTTACTGTTGCGTTAAACAGAGGCTACAGTTAAGGAATTGCGCCCAGTCAATCCTCCCCGGCCAGGATACGAACCCATGACATAGCGCTCGCGGAACGCCAGGCGAGTGTCTTACCACTACACCACGGAGACTGTTGTTCACGGCATTGAAATCGTTATGACCAGACTAGGCAACGGAGGCAAGGAATCGGATCTTTGTGACAACATTTCGTCTTTCTGAGCACCCACGGAGATAGCAGCCCTCAGCTGGGTGTGCCCTGGAGGCTCACACCACATGTGGTCTTAGATTTGCTAATCAGCATCGTGCCCCACCCAAGGCACCCTGAGCGCGGCTTCTTATATACCAAACTCTCGCGGATGCCAGCCACTGCCATTCATCGTTTATTGAAGAAAACAAAAAACCTAGATCACCTTCGGGGCAAACCCTTGCTCTTTTAAGGCTGGGCGAGAGTACTAGACTGTTCCGTTTTTACTGTGGTTTTCCTGCGCTTTGAACTCACGTGATTTGAGACATGCATAGAATCACTTAAACCTTATGACCCCTCAGGATTCGAAATATATATATGTGCTCCTTATATGTGTGTGTGTGTGTGTGTGTGTGTGTGTGTGTGTGTGTGTGTGTGTGTGTGTGTGTGTGTGTGTGTGTGTGTTTGTGTGTGTGTGTGCGTGCGTGTGTACTCACCTAATTGTACTCACCTAATTGTGCTTGCGGGGGTTGAGCTCTGGCTCTTTGGTCCCGCCTCTCAACCGTCAATCAACTGGTGTACAGATTCCTGAGCCTATTGGGCTCTATCATATCTACATTTGAAACTGTGAATGGAGTCAGCCTCCACCACATCACTTCCTAATGCATTCCATTTGCTAACTACTCTGACACTGAAAAAGTTCTTTCTAACGTCTCTGTGGCTCATTTGGGTACTCAGCTTCCACCTGTGTCCCCTTGTTCGCGTCCCACCAGTGTTGAAAAGTTCATCCTTGTTTACCCGGTCGATTCCCCTGAGGATTTTGTAGGTTGTGATCATGTCCCCCCTTACTCTTCTGTCTTCCAGTGTCGTGAGGTGCATTTCCCGTAGCCTTTCCTCATAACTCATGCCTCTTAGTTCTGGGACTAGTCTAGTAGCATACCTTTGGACTTTTTCCAGCTTCGTCTTGTGCTTGACAAGGTACGGGCTCCATGCTGGGGCCGCATACTCCAGGATTGGTCTTACATATGTGGTGTACAAGATTCTGAATGATTCCTTACACAGGTTCCTGAACGCCGTTCTGATGTTAGCCAGCCTCGCATATGCCGCAGACGTTATTCTCTTTATGTGGGCTTCAGGAGACAGGTTTGGTGTGTGTGTGTGTGTGTGTGTGTGTGTGTGATCTAGATAAACATTACAATGCAAATGTAATACCAATCCATACTGATATTATGTCCATAGAAGTTGACATGTGCAGGCCAGTACTGTGGCTTCTCATACTTCACTGCAAGGCACTGTTGGTGGAGTTTTGAGGAGTTTACACTGCTAGGAGATAGAAGTGTGGGAATATATCTAAGAAGAGAAGATATAAAGAAGCCTCGCTGGCAAGGTACAGTTTGTAAATATCTGTATATTAGTAAACCTTCTTGGAAAGCGATTATTTTTTTAAAAATTTGTTAAAATTTGTAAAACAAAAATAATATGCAGACGATGAGTCACAGTAACGTGGCTGTAGTATGTTGACCAGACCACACACTAGAAGGTGAAGGGACGACGACGTTTCGCTCCGTCCTGGACCATTCTCAAGTCGATTGTCAATCAACAATCGACTTGAGAATCGATCGACGTTTCGGTCCAGGACGGACCGAAACGTCGTCGTCCCTTCACTTTCTAGTGTGTGGTCTGGTCAACAAAAATAATGCTTTTTATTTGGATTTTAAGAAGTCTTCTCGAGGTGACATACGTGCATAAACAATGTCCTTAAGGCATATTACACTAATTTGAGCAGAGTTAGGATTAAAATTTATGGTATTAGGATTAAAATGAACAGAAACATGGACAAATGAAGATAACAGCTATCTGTTCCCTCAATATCAGATAGCGAAATACTAATTGCTTCACAATGATAGAAAATATAACGAACGTTGTTCACTATGACAGAGAGAGAACTTGAAACGCAGAGAAGAACAGGAAATCAAAACTGATCCACGCACAAAAAGCAGTTTGTGAAGAACTAACCGGAAAATTATGATAATTATAAGCCTAATAATAGTTGTATATAGACGGCCTGGACAGGTAAGGTTCCCAGTGGTCCATGTGCGTTAGTACCGTTACTTGATTCCATTCATATTTTCCAGTTCCTTGTCCACATCTCACAGCTCCTTGTTGACATATCCCAGTTCCTTGTCGACATATCTCAGTTCCTTGTCCACATATCCCAGTTCCTTGTCCACATATCTCAGTTCCTTGTCCACATATCCCAGTTCCTTGTCCACATATCTCAGTTCCTTGTCCACATATCCCAGTTCCTAGTCGACATATTCCAGTTCCTTGTCCACATCTCACAGCTCCTTGTCGACATATCTCAGTTCCTTGTCCACATATCCCAGTTCCTAGTCGACATATCTCAGTTCCTTGTCCACATCTCCCAGTTCCTTGTCGACATACCCCAGTTCCTTGTCGATATCTCCCAGTTCCTTGTCGACATATCCCAGTTCCTTGTCGACGTATTCCAGCTCCTTGTCGACATATCCCAGCTCCTTATCCACATATCCCAGTTCCTTGTCCACATATCCCAATTCCTTGTCGACATATCCTAGTTCCTTGTCGATATATCCCAGTTCCTAGTCGACATATCCCAGTTCCTTGTCCACATATCCCAGTTCCTTGTCCACATATCCCAATTCCTTGTCGACATATCCCAGTTCCTAGTCGACATATCCCAGTTCCTTGTCCACATATCCCAGCCCCTTGTCCACATATCCCAGTTCCTTGTCCACATATCCCAGTTCCTTGTCCACATATCCCATCTCCTTGTCGACATATCCTAGTTCCTTGTCCACATATCCCAGTTTCTTGTCCACATCTCCCAGTTCCTTGTCCACATATCCCAGCTTCTTGTCAACATTTCCCAGCTCCTTGTCCACATATCCCAGCTCCTTGTCGACATATCCCAGTTCCTTGTCCACATATCCCAGTTTCTGTCGACATATCCTAGTTCCTTGTCCACATATCCCAGCTCCTTGTCAACATATCCATGCATCTTGCCGTAATATCTCGACTCTATCGCTTAATATCTTTTTTAGGTGGCATATAATCACACTGTCTAAGGACACTCGGCTCCTTGTCCAATATATCCTTGAAAGGGCTCTCGTCTCGTACGCCGAGGAGGAAGCCCAATCAATACTATACCTACTCTGAGGGCACTCTGAGGGACCTTCAAAACAGATGATGGCGGCCGTGTGGGGAGTGGAGAGAGGTAGTGGGGCGGGTCTCCACTGTGGGTATATAAGGACCTGCCCACCCTCATCCTAGTACAGTCCACGTGAAGTTGTCACTTTGTGAACACCTCTCTTACAAACATGAGATCTGTGAGTACACCCTTCAAGACTGTCAGCATCCTTCATCCTCATCCCCCTCATTACGATCTTAAACTGATTCTTTCTCATTCAGCGGTCTTAATCACTTGGGGTGGACGGTAGAGCGACGGTCTCGCTTCGTGCAGATTGGCGTTTAAATGCCCCCCGACCGTCCATGTGGGAACCGACCTGTGAGATTTATATTTGTTTAATTTATATGAATTTATATTTACGTTAATTTATATACTTCGATAGCAATTTGTATAATGATAAGTGGACTGTATTTCTGCAATAATCTCATAATCTCACAAATCGATCCTCTACACATTAGGGGGGGTTTATATTACACATATGCAGCCAATCAAATTACAGTAATAGCTACATACATTGATGAGGTTCCTTCTCTTATAGTACAGCAGGTTAGTCCACCAGGTATAACTAGAGTGTAGACACCAAATTATCCTCTTTGAGGTAGCTTCTATCACCCAGTAACTGGTGCACATAATCTTGCATCCTCGTCTTGACCTGTCAAAAGTGCGCTAGCTGTGAAGCCAGAATCCTATATATGACAAGCTATATCAGAGAAAACACTATACAGTACATGGAACATTAAAGACCTGGCTTAATTACCTTTAGTATGAGGCGATTTCGCGTTCTAACCGGCTAACCCTATATCCTGACATTAATGGCCATAAATGAATGATAAACGGGTTTCGGATAGACACTTAACTTGTATTTGTAGACAGCGTGTTGACAATGGTACACCTTTGGGTTCCATAACACTACGTCCAAGTAAATTTAACAGGAGCCGAATTTGCTCCCGTGTGAGCCTCTGGTCTCAATAAACAACAATGGCTGCCCTCCTTCCTCCACTCTGACGCCTGGCTTACATTGTCCAGATTTCAGAACGTGATAGAAGGGTCACATTTACTCTACTTTAATATTGATAATTAAGTTAATTTATATAAGATGTTTTTATGATGGTAAAGTCCAAAGACTAATGTATTTAAGAATAATTCCCAGCAGAATAGCTGGTGAATTATAATAGTATGTGGTGATGATATCCCGTTTTCTTTAGACGGTAATTCCACTACAAGTTACGTTTTCTATGGGTAACTTGTTGGTAATACAGCAGCACTTATTATCTGTCTGTATGATATTAAATGGTGTCGGATTTTCCGACATAATTCCCCAGGGGCTGCTCACGGGTCGAAGTCCTCTTTAGAACAGACGAACACCGAAACTCCTCCTTCGGATTATTACATTAATTTGATGTTAGTAGTTAGTAATCACACATTTGTGTGTCTGTTCGTACAGGACGGATGTCCCGTACTAGAGTTGCAAGGGTTAGAAGTCTAATGCGATTTCATTTCCCTGTCAACTCTTGAAAGGCTAATATTCAAGCCTTATTACATATTATTTAACCCAGAAGACTGAATGTGATCAAGTACTACAGTCAAGTATGATTCAGGGACTGCAGTGAGATCAGTGACATTAGATATAACTTGAAGCTTCTTCAGGTAACTGGTCACTGATATATAAACACTGAGGCCCATGGAATACATCTTGATTAAATAATAAATGTATCAAATCAGTCATCAGATTTATTGGGGTTTAATTTAGTTAATTGATTCAGAAGATTGAATAGCTCATCATTAAAGTAAAGTATGGTTCTGAGACTGCAGTGGGTTCAGTGACATTGGTCGCAGTGACTTGTAGCTGTTTTAGGCTACTGTTCACTGATTTGCCACTGAGGCCTCATGAACTCATCTCCAGCTTTAAATGATGATACTAACATCAACCTCTGTTGGTATAGTCAGCTGTAATCTCCTTAGTATAATGCTACTGGAGAAATATAATCAGCTGACAAATTTAGTTTCTATTGGTATTGTTTATCTGCAGGCATAGGTCTCCTCAGGCTTGATACTGGGCCTGAGAGTAATTTACCTCCTGCAGAGTTTAACATGGTTATACCCTGATATTTAGTAGGGCTACCGATGAATCGATGGCAATAGTCTGTCCCAACAAGGAGACCGAAGTCGTTGAGGTGATCAGACTTAATATTATCTGCCAATTTTATTCCTCTATTTCTCAGGAATTTGGCTGTTGCTCTCAGACCTTGAACTTGTAGGTCTACTGGTATTTTGTCCACCACAATGGCTTGTACTCGACAGATGTACCTGCCTAAACGTACTGATGGTTGTACCACCTGGTAGACTTGAGGTCCTGCATCTGTTACAAACCCTGAGATGTTGAATGACATCTGGGCTACAGGCCTTAATTGTAATTCATCTGCCAACCTTTTAGTGATGTATGTTCTCTGGGATCCTTGGTCAAACAACCCACGGGTATGGACCTTGGCCCTCTTATTCAGGATGGTAATTTGGGCAGTAGGCAAAGTCGTATTACCTTTAGACTTTGCCGATTGGACACTCTTTGTTGGTTGCACCTTGCAGTACTGTACTGTGGTGGGAATGCTATCTTCCACCTTGGGGTTTGGAGACGTTGTTTTGGTGTCTCTGCACAATGCTGCATGGTGCTGACCTTTGTTACACCTATTACAGGTGTGTAATTGGGTATCACAGTCCTTGATGTTATGTTTCCTGAGGCACCTCGTGCAATGTTGCAAATCTTTGAGTCGCTCAACACGGGCGTCACTATCAGGAAAATTAGGGCAGTGGTACATTGAATGTTTCTCATTGCAGAACAAACATGTTCCATAGCTTCCAGTACCCTTTGGTGTCGCGTTCTTGGATGACACAGTAACTATAGGCTTTGAGGGTCCCACTGCATATACGCCCACACTGCCACTGTTCCACTTTGGTGTTGAATTATATTGTCTAGATTGATTTGGAGTACCTTTGGTACTCTGTGGTTTACTATTATTGGTTTCTGAGGGTTTACTTGGTGGTTTTAATTTGTCATGTGTTCGTAATTGATGAACTACTGACTTTAAACCTTCAGATATTTCACTCATGGATAAGATGCTTTTATTGTAATGAGCACTCATTTGTCTCAATATGTCCCTAGGTATTTTCTCCTGGACAATTATTTTCAAGACCCACTCAGCCCCGTTTGTATCTGCTGTCAGGCTGAGGGCATTGATCAATGATTCTACCTCCAGCTTGAAGACTTGGAGTGAATCAGCTGAAGCCTCCGGTGGGGGTAAATGCAACAGCTCATGAACTAAATGTGATGTTCTTACTTCTGGATCAGCATAATTATCCTTGAGGAGTTTCACTGCCAGATCATAGCCGTCATTAGTTAATCTCAGATGGGATACTACTGTTTTAGCCTCACCTGATAATTGGCCTTGCAAATAAGAGAATTTACTACTCTTTGGTAAAGATTGTTTTGAGTCTACAAGGTCAACGAATTTGTTCCAAAATTCATCCCAATCTTCCTCATCTTTTCCTGAGAAAGTGGGTAAATTAATTGGAGGGAGTCGAGCTTCTGCTTGACTCGTATTAGATGCAACTGTTGTTGTTGTTGCTGTTGCCTTGTTCTGGGCAATTAATTTGACATAAGGCTGTAACGTGGCCTGAGTGTGATCTTCATAATTCGCAAGATCAACCATAATGTCGTCTATTTCTGTTTCTGATAAATTGGTGTTGGCAAGTTCAGCCACATATGTTGCTATTTGACATTTGATTTGCTCAAATTTACCTGCAGCTGCTTGATAATAGCTTTCCAGGTCAGCATAATCAACTGTTGATTGTTGTGACAAATCTTCACATTTCTTGATCTGTCTTGTTAAGTGGCCTTTAAGACCTGCAAGGGTTCTTTTCATTCTCCCTGCATTATCCATACTGGCTCGTTGGTGAAGCCTTGTGGGGCTTGTACTTGGGCTGCTCATAATACTGAACAAGCTCTGATGGTAGCCTAGGGTAAATTCTGAACTCACTAGGCAATAATCCTACCTCTACTAGAGGTTAGCACTTAAAATTAATACACATTATATATATATACAATCATCCACACTAATGATTTGAGTGATAAACCAGTGTCATGGAAGTACCTTTAGGTTAGCTCTTCTATATCACCCTAGGATGGTAGAGACACTAATTAATCACTCAAAGGTGTAATGATCATAAGTAATTTATTATATATACAACTCAACTCGAGTTGATAAAAATTACACCCAAAATAGGGTCTGGACCATTCATTAATGGTGTTAGGTTGTTCAATATAGTACAACTGACTATGGTAATAATGGGACTAGGATGAACGATAATAGTTCAACTAGTCAATGGTTAATATCCTACCCTGTTGTGGGTTGGCAATTAGTAAATATTATACTGTGATCACTAGTGCAATATATATTAAATAATTCTCTATCTTGGAGAAATAATATACACAATTATTGATAATAGCCTCTTAATTAGCCTCTATGAAACTTCTAATATTATCTAGAAGTATTAAATGTTATTAGTGACCTCGCGAAATAAAGTCCACAAAATTCGTGGATAATCTCTCGCGAAATGTAACACCACGAAATCCGTGAACAATCTCGCGAAGACACAGTCACTAATTTGGCTGGATTCTATATTAGCGCTGTCATTTCACGAAATAACACGCCACCAAATTTCTGTGGGTGTGCATGAAACCGCTGACTAAGGCTGATCTGGGCTGAGGGAGGCTCCCACGAGGCAACGCCGCTGTCTTGACTGGCTTTGTTTAAATAACACTGCACTAGTATATTTAATGAATCCACTGGTTTGGTTCACTGGTTCATCCGGTACTAAGATGACCAAATGTGGGTTCAAAGGATCAAATAATCCGTCATCCGGTTCGAAGATGACCAAAATAATGTGGGAACCGACCTGTGAGATTTATATTTGTTTAATTTATATGAATTTATATTTACGTTAATTTATATACTTCGATAGCAATTTGTATAATGATAAGTGGACTGTATTTCTGCAATAATCTCATAATCTCACAAATCGATCCTCTACACATTAGGGGGGGTTTATATTACACATATGCAGCCAATCAAATTACAGTAATAGCTACATACATTGATGAGGTTCCTTCTCTTATAGTACAGCAGGTTAGTCCACCAGGTATAACTAGAGTGTAGACACCAAATTATCCTCTTTGAGGTAGCTTCTATCACCCAGTAACTGGTGCACATAATCTTGCATCCTCGTCTTGACCTGTCAAAAGTGCGCTAGCTGTGAAGCCAGAATCCTATATATGACAAGCTATATCAGAGAAAACACTATACAGTACATGGAACATTAAAGACCTGGCTTAATTACCTTTAGTATGAGGCGATTTCGCGTTCTAACCGGCTAACCCTATATCCTGACATTAATGGCCATAAATGAATGATAAACGGGTTTCGGATAGACACTTAACTTGTATTTGTAGACAGCGTGTTGACAATGGTACACCTTTGGGTTCCATAACACTACGTCCAAGTAAATTTAACAGGAGCCGAATTTGCTCCCGTGTGAGCCTCTGGTCTCAATAAACAACAATGGCTGCCCTCCTTCCTCCACTCTGACGCCTGGCTTACATTGTCCAGATTTCAGAACGTGATAGAAGGGTCACATTTACTCTACTTTAATATTGATAATTAAGTTAATTTATATAAGATGTTTTTATGATGGTAAAGTCCAAAGACTAATGTATTTAAGAATAATTCCCAGCAGAATAGCTGGTGAATTATAATAGTATGTGGTGATGATATCCCGTTTTCTTTAGACGGTAATTCCACTACAAGTTACGTTTTCTATGGGTAACTTGTTGGTAATACAGCAGCACTTATTATCTGTCTGTATGATATTAAATGGTGTCGGATTTTCCGACAGTCCAAGTGGTTGGGCACTTTTCCTTTCCCCCCCGTTCCATCCCAAATCTTTATCATAATCCCTTCCAAGTGCTTAATATAGTCGTGGTGGCTTGGCGCTTTCCCCCTGATAGTTCCCTCCTCTACAGTCAGTTTGTTTATATCCTTCCGATGTTTTTGTTGAAAATGACTAGATATTACTACTGCATTTAAGTTTATTAATGGTTTTAATTGTTTTCGTTAAGAACGTTTTGCTAGATATTTGTTTATATTTAAGAATGATCGTCACCACTCAGATGCTGTTAGTTAATAATGAGTGATGTCAGGTTCCCTGCGTACAAGCACCGGTCATATATATATATGAGGAACTCAGAGGTAAATTCTCATCACGAAATTATTGAACAGATAAGAATACTTCCTACAGTTTAGGTCCCACAGCTCTTTAAGTCCTACAGTTTAGGTCCCACAGCTCTTTAAGTCCTGCAGTTTAGGTCCCTCAGCTCTTTAAGTCCTACAGTTTAGGTCCCACAGCTCTTTAAGTCCTACAGTTTAGGTCCCACAGCTCTTTAATTCCTACAGTTTAGGTCCCACAGCTCTTTAATTCCTACAGTTTAGGTCCCACAGCTCTTTAATTCCTACAGTTTAGGTCCCTCAGCTCTTTAAGTCCTACAGTTTAGGTCCCACAGCTCTTTAAGTCCTACAGTTTAGGTCCCACAGCTCTTTAAGTCCTACAGTTTAGGTCCTACAGCTCTTTAAGTCCTACAGTTTAGGTCCCACAGCTCTTTAAGTCCTACAGTTTAGGTCCCACAGCTCTTTAAGTCCTACAGTTTGGGTCCCACAGCTCTAAGTCCTACAGTTTAGGTCTCACAGTTCAGGTCCTACTAAAGCCAGCATCACAACTTGCAGAAATGAAACCTGTTTCACCATATATTTGACATTTGGAAGTTAACACTCGATCATCATTATTGCAGGTGTGCCTGATGTTGGTGGTGGTGGTGGTGGCCCTGGCCGCCCTGATGGGGTCAGCCCGAGCCATGCCTGAACCCTACGCCCTGGCCGACCCTGACCCCGCGGCTGACCCACAATTTGAAGAGCTTCACAATTTTGGTCGGGGATTCCTTCGGGGTCTCCTTCGCAGTATTGGAACCCACAGAATATAATTAACCTTATAACCTGCTTCCCGTGACCAACAGTTTCCTCCCAGTCGAAGGATTTTGTTTGGTAAACGACCAACCAAATTTTTACTAACAACTACCAACTTTTGTCTACTGGAGGAAGCTGGATGAAACTACTGACGCAGCTTTCTCTTGTCTTCTGAATCTCCAGCATCTCTCAAACCTTCAGAATCTCCAGCATCTCTCAAACCTTCAGAATCTCCAGCATCTCTCAAACCTTCAGAATCTCCCCAAATTACAGCATGTCTCCAACCTCCAGCATCTTCTAATCTCAAGCAACTTCCCAATCTTCAGCATCTTAAACGTCCAGCACCTCCAGCATGGTTGCTAGCTGTTTTGTAGTTACCAACTGTCAGATGAATTCTTTATGAAATACATCTATTTTCATATTTACCTTTTTACTTTACCTCCTATAGAAATAATACAATTTTAACAAAATTTCAAGTATTACTCAGGACTTACAACGCATGTTCTGAGGGGCAGATTTGCACTCTGGGGATTTGCTTACAAACCATAAATGGTGCAAACGTTTTGGGTCGACCTGATCACCGCCCGGTTCCTCTTCAGGTTTTCTATATTGCCCTGAAACAGGACTGAACAATACTCATAACTCTCTTTGAGTTTACAATGTTTACAGTTGATAGTTCACAATTTAGACACTTCATTTGATTGGTTACCAACAGTTCAAATTGAAATGAGATTAATGGGTTGATAATTAACTGATCACACAAAAAAGTCTTGAAACAGTATTTGTCTCTTTATGGTGAATTCTTGGCACTTAATATTCTTACCTAACAGTAGTTAAGAATATTAAGTATTCTTATATCAAGATTTGACATGAACTCAAACACCGTGTACAAGCCATATCTTACCTTTTTATTATCGCATCGTATATCAGAAGGTAATATCTTAATTCTGGTCTTAAGTTACATTCTTAAATGTTAAATCTTTAATATTAAAGCGACAATAATATTGTTCTCCTAGTTTAATATCTTTTAAGTTTCGTTGCTCGACAGCCTACACAATGAGCTGATGTTGGTACCATTGATATTGGTGCTCTTTCTAATTTAAAAGAGCCATTTATGTAAACAAAATAGGCCTTTTCTCAAGAGTTAATGCTTGTGGTACGCCCCTTGTCTGGTGAAGCCACTGGCGAACTATTGTTTGCTCTAGTCACTGAGATTCGATCCCTTTCTACCGTCCACTGAGAGTCCATCCCTTACCCCCACTGAGATTCCAACCTTCCCCACTGAGCCCACTGAGATTCCGTCCCCTCCCCACTGAGCCCACTGAGATTAGAACGACAAATATAAAGCAGCGCAAAGAGTTTTCCTGAAATAAACAGTATTTTGACAATGAAAAAAGAGTAACTGTAATGTTATGAACTAGGATACAGTGTAAGTGGAGGCATGCAGTATCCCTCAGTGTGACGTCAGTAATGGGTGTGTAAAACAGACATCCCCCTCCCCCCAGTTTACACCTATCATATAATATACTGAAATTTACGAGTCGAATGTTTAGAAGTGTACCTCATTGATACCTCCACCCCCTCCCCCCCTGGGGCGTCATCGTGACTTACTCTCAAATGTTCCCTTGACGATGAATAGTGACGAATGAATCGATGAATCCGATGAAGATATGAATAAACCACACATCAGAAGACGGAGAGACGACGACGTTTCGGACCGAACTGGACCATTATCAAGTTACTCACGACTTGATAAAATGGTCCACGACGGACCGAAACGTCGTCGTTTTTCATATTCTGATGTGTTGTTTGGTCATCATCCTGGATTATAGTTGAATATTCATGTGCTCTACTGGTTTACACTGATTGTACAGCGTTGATGGAATGAGTTAGCGATTGTGTACTCAAGGATGATGCTGCGTAAACCTCTTGAACTACCAGATCTCCTTGACATGCGCTATAATTGCGTTCCTGCGTCGCTTATCATACATAAAAACTTTCTTCCTGTTTTTATCGAAACATTAAAGTAAATTACTTTATTTTTTGCCGTAAGAAAGTTGTTGAGTTTATATTTGTTTAATTTAGCAGTCGTGTCCAGCTGAGATGATGTACCATCGCTTGGGACGTTTTTAGGCATTTTGGACAATTAAGATTTATCATTACCACGATAAGCAAGTCCTTTGCTGTCAACTGACGCGGATTCCATCCCCGGCAGGACAGGGACGGTTGGGCACGTTTCTCTTTTGCTTGATGCCTTGTTGACCTTGCAGTAAAAGTGGCACCCGGTAGTTAAGCAATTATGGTGGATGGATTGGATTGCATCCAGCTGGAGGGACAGTAGTTGGCCTGGGGGAAGTTCCATAGACCTAAGTATAGGCTTCCTGTCCCCGACAACGGGAATTTGATTGAATTACACGCGGAGAGGTGTAATACATACACCTCTCATATACATACACCCATGCATATACACCCTGGTTCTCGGTGTATATGTACTGAGAGTTTAATTTAGTCCTGGACTATATACGTGTTGGTTGGTCTGAAGACTATTGTGGTGGGCTTAGTAACCCTCGAGAGGTTGATAGGCCTTAGGCCCAACAGCAACCGAATACTTGTTGGTTGGTTTGTACACTATTGTGGTGGGCTTAACTCAAGCCCAGAAAATATGGTACAAGGAACGTTTTAAGTCATTTTTCCCCTCGTAAGTTATCACTTATTTTGTTCATGTATTGTGTGTCCCGTTCCCTTTGCATCTGGTAATGGTACTATGTTGTACTGCACTAGTACTCTAGTACCAGTGTACCAGTGATCGTGTCATTGGGTGTTTGCTGGTTATGGCACTTATATACACAAGTTCCATGACCAACCAATACCCGACGACACTCGTGGTTTCTACCCCAGTTATTTCATCAAATCTCTGAACATACTAGGGGGTCACACTGAGTACATGTATGAGCAAAGGTTGAGTGGTCCCCAAGCATAGAATCACTTGTGTCTTAACTCTGAGCACTGTTTAAGTCCTTAGGTATATGCTTGACATTGAGGTTAAATTTGTAATATTTCAGTAGGAGGTAAAATCAAAATATATATCTGAAAATATATATATTTCTCGAACTATTTGGTTCATAGTTGGTAACTACTAAACAATTTCGAACTCTCCAACAACTATCGTGGAGGTGCTGGAAGTTAAATAAAGATGCTGGAAGGGAGATGTAGAAGCTTAGGAGATGCTGTAGGATGGGAAGATGCTGAAGGTTTGAAAGATGCTGAAGGTTCAGAAGATGATAGAGAAAGTTGCTTCAGTAGATTAATCCAGCATCCTCCAGTAGACAAAAGCTGGAGGTTGTCAGTAAAGTAAACATTTGGTTGGTCGTTTACCAGACAAAATCCTTCGACTGGGAGGAAACTGTCGGTCACGGGCAACAGGTTATAAGGTTAATTATATTCAGAATGGTCCAAGAGTGCGAAGAAGGCCCCGAAGGACATTCCTCCCTAAAAGGTGAAGCTCTTCAAACTGTGGGTCAGCCGCGGGGTCAGGGTCAGGCAGGGCGTAGGGGTTAGGCATGGCTCGGGCTGACCCCATCAGGGCGACCAGGGTCACCACCACCAACATCAGGCACAACTGCAATAATAATGATGAAAAATTTCTGATGGTAAATGGTGAAACATGTTCTATTTAGACGAACGAGATGGTTGCTTTCGCATGACCTGAACTGTGGGACCTAATCTGTCAAATGAATTCTTATGTATTCAATAATTTCGTGTTGAGGATTTACCTCTTAATGGCTCTAAAATAGTTTATGTGCTTGTTCTCAGGGGACCTGACGACTCGTCAATCATTAACAGAAAAATTCATCAAAATCATTGAAATTGGAGGGTTTGAAACTTCTGAGAAAGAATCAGTTTAAGAGCGTAATGAGGGGGATGAGGATGAAGGATGCTGACAGACAGTCTTGAAGGGTGCACTCACAGATCTCATGTTTGTAAGAGAGGTGTTGACAAAGTGACAACTTCACGTGGACTGTACTAGGATGACGGTGGGCAGGTCCTTATATACCCACAGTGATGACCACTACCTCTCTCCACCTCCACACGGCCGCCATCTTGTGTCCTGAAGGCTGAGGGACCTCACACAGGGATAACCCTGCATATTCTTACTGTATTTGAATGCAGTTTTTATTTAGTCGATGAAAAAGCATGTACAGTACGTTGATTCCTTACCATTATTAAATATACAGTTACAGATAAAAAATTAAATTTCAGTGCTTCGCAAATACGATTTACTTGTTTTAACAATATTTCTTCCAATTAAATCCATCTGATAATGGCATGATAGTGATCCCCTTCACCATTATTTCCGCTAATAAATATTCTTGCTTACCATTGACCGGGATTGGAATCCTGCTAGATTGGATTTCATAATTGAAGACACGATTTATTACGATTTCCAGAAACATTTTGTTGAATACCTAATCGATAACTTCAGATTTATTCAACTCCTAACGTGAGAGTACTAATAGCAGCTATTTGGCCAAACATACAAAAATCTACTCTTTTTGTCCCGATAGTTCAATAGGGATTTAATTTAGGGTTTATATTTATTCCTATAGAAAACAAAAATGGTTTTCTACACAAGTGGGTGTATTATAACATTAATAGTTATGTAACTAGCTTCAAAAGATTGTCTCTTGCTTAGCTAAATGAACTATGGGATTAATTTCCTGAACCGATTATATGCCTCTGTAACCCTTTGTACCACCGCCCACGGGATGGGTATGGGGTGCATAATAAAGAAAGAATCAATACACAAGTGGGTACAGGAGTAGACGGCATCGTGTTTCCTGGTAGTCGACTTAGAGCTCTTTTTACTGCTTAAAATTTAACGACTTAATCATACCTCGCCAAACATATCCTATCTTGAGGTTATCTTGAGTTGATTTCGGGGCTTTTTTTTTAGTGTCCCCGCGGTCCGGTCCTCGACCAGGCCTCCACCCCCAGGAAAGCAGCCCGTGACAGCTGACTAACACCCAGGTACCTATTTATTGCTAGGTAACAAGGGCATAGGGTGAAAGAAACTCTGCCCATCGTTTCTCGCTGGCGCCCGGGATCGAACCCGGGACCACAGGATCACAAGTCCAGTGTGCTGTCCGCTCGGCCGACCAGCTCCCTTAAATCCTATCCATCCTACCCAGACTAACGTAATAACGGCAATATATCTATTTAAAACGTCGAAATCCATTAATTCTTCACTGGCGCAGAGTATGAGTTAATGCTTTACAAGTATTCAAATTCAGTGGCCCAACTTTTAAGTCAGAAATAATTTAATATTGTCCAGTCAGCTTTAAATCAAATCAGTAGATATATATAGAGTCAGAGAATTCTTCTCAAGACTTAGGTATAATGGAAATTAAATATATTTTGAGG